TGTTTATAGAAGCTTTATTCATAATTGCCCAAATCAGAAAGCAACCAAGATGTGAATGAAGATGTCCTTCCATAGGCGATTGGATAAACAAACTGCGGTACATCCATACAATGTAATATTATTCAGTGCTTAAAAGAAATGAGCTATTAAACCATGAAAAGGCCTGGAGGAACCTTAAGTATGTATTGCTGAATGAGAGAAGCCCATCTTAAAAGGTTACATACTGAATGATTCCAACCATATGATATTCTGGAAGAACGGAAAACTATGGCAAGAGTGAAAAGATCAGTGGTTACTGGGAGGGCGGGTGGAGGGGGTGAGAGGTGGTGGAGGAGGGGAAGAGGAAAAGAGGCATGAATAGGTAGAGCATAGAATTTTTAGGGCACTGATATTATTCTGTATGATACTGTAATGGTAGATACATTTTATTATACATTTGTCGAAACCCATAGAATGTGCAACACAAAGATGAACAAGATGAACCCTAATGTAAACTATGGCCTTTAGTCAATAATACTGTGTCACTATGGGATCATCTCATCAATTGTAACAAATGATAGTATACTAATTCAAGATGCTAATAATAGGGGAAAGAGAGAGAGAGAGAGAGAGAGAGAGAAGAGAGAGAGAGAGAGAGAGAGATAAGAACTCCCTATACTTTCTGCTCAAATTTTTATAAACATAAAACTGCTAAAAAATTAAAGTATATTTTAAAAAAATCAAATCTAACCCTTTCTAACGCCTTCTAACCCTTTTCTTGCCTGTGATAATCTAGTAGAAATGGGGTGATTACACCAAGGAAGTCTGACCAATGGGTCTCCAAGGAAAGTTACAGAGTGTGGTAGGGGACATCTTTGTTTACTGATAGGAAATTTCTGAGAAGGGACATGACTTACCCAGGAGCACACAATGAATGCCAAAAAGTGAACAAGAGCCCAGGTCTTCCACTGGACTCTCTATTCCAGGTTCAGCAAGATCTTGCTCAGTTTATTTATTTTCATTCTTCTCAGTCTATCAATAATGGGTTGATATACTAAACTCACATCCAAAGTAAATCCTTCCAAAAATACACTGTGTTTATATGTTCAAACATCCTAACTTTGGGATTCTTCCATCTTGCTAACTATAAAGTGAACAGTTCTATTCAATCAAGCAATTGAAAAAGTTCCTTCATTCCTACCTCAGGCACCAAAGTATATTTTATCTATGTGGCTTACTTTGCATTAAAATAATTTTCAAATAATGGTTAGGTTTGCAATAGATTTGGCATCCTAATGAATCAATTTAATTTAGGCAAATAACTCATTTCAATAGGGTTTGGTTTAGAAGTCATCTGAACATTTTTTTCTACAGTTAACTCTGGTGTACACTTCATGTTTTATGATAGTATGAGAAAGTAGACTATTTACTGCCTCTGCATGGAATAATGTGGTATTTCATTAAAATATCTCACTATTATGTCCTACTTTCTAATCACACCTCATGCCTTTTATTTTTCCATCTCTTTCATTCCACTTACCTCCTCTTTGACCTCATTCCAGACTTCAGTCCCTTATCTTCATTTTTCCCTAGTTTTTATTCCTCCATCTCCATCCAGCCTGAATACCATGCAATCTCTTGTTCCTCTGTTTCATCCTACCTGGCCAACTCTGCACCTAGGGTCTCTTTCTTTTTTCTTTTTAAGAATAAAATTGTTTTTCCAGCTTTCTTGAGATATAATTGATATATAACATTGTGTAATTTAAGGTATACAACATGTTTTGATACACTTATTACCACCATTAGCTACATACTGCCATCCAGTCACATAATTACCATTTCTTTTTTTGCAGTGAGAATATTTAAGATTTACTTTCTCAGTAACTTTCAAGTATATAATATTGTTAGCTATAATCGCTATGTTGTATATTAGATTCCCAGAATTTATTCATCCTATAAGAGAAAGTTTGTATCCTTTGTCTGACATCTCCCCATTTTCTTCCTCCACTCCCCCCAGCCACTGGTAAACCACCTCTCTACTCTGTTTCTATTAGTTTGGCTCCTTTAGATTCCACATGTAAGTGAGCCCATACAGTATTTGTCTTTGTCTGTTTGATTTCACTTAATGCCCTCAAGTTTCCTCTATGTTGTTTCGAATGGCAATTTCCTTCTTTTTCATGGCCGAATAATATTTCATTGTATCACATCTTCTTTATACATTTATCCACTTATGAACACAGGTTGATTCCATATCTTGGCTATATTGTGAATAATCTACAAGAACATGAAAGTGCAGATATCTCTTCTTGATCTTGTTTTCATTTCCCTTGGATATACATCCAGAAGTGGGATTGTTGGATTACATGGTAGTTTTCTTTTTCTTTTTTTCTTTTTCTAGGATGAAGTGACTTCTTCTTCACAGAAGAAACTTTACCAACATAACTGAGAACAGGTAGAGGAAATCAATTCTCTTGATAGTTGTCACTACAAGTAGATGACTCTTAATTTCATCTGTATCCAGTATGCCTCTTATGCAATCCTTTCATTTTGTCTTGGTCATTGTCCTCTCCCATTCCCCTCACTGGGTATTTCTCAGCAAAATATCTTACCTTTTACTCAATAAGAAAATGGGGCCCATCAGGTATTTTCAAATACTTATCTGCTCTCCACTTGTCTTTCATGCAGGTCTTCCTCTCGTGGCCTCAGAGAGAAAGACATTCTTCCCATTATCCCATCCAAACCTAGTTCCCTTTTCTGTGGGCTTAAAACTGCCCCTCTCATCCCATCTTCTCCAAGATCTTCTTCCATTAATGACTCCCCGTCTCTCCCCTGCGTCTTCTCTTTGTCCACTGTTTTTGTTTTTCCCTCTCAGCTTCTAAACCAGTGAATCTCTTTTTCTCCTCCTTTGGGGAAAAAACTTTCTTCAACCCCACTCCTACCTGTAGCTACGGCCCAATGCCTCTCCTTCCCATCTCCACTATACTTCTCAAAGTTTCATATTCCCCATCTCCTAATTTCTCTTTC